ACAGGATGTCCTGGCAGAGGTCACGGGGAGCTCACAGCTGCAGAGTGACCACAGATGAGCTCAGATCCTCTGTGTCAAGGTGTGATGGAGCCCAGGGACAGAGGTGGAGGGATTAGCACAGAGACATGGTTGGCTTTTGGGTCTGTCTGGGGAAGTCAGGTGGGTGGAATAGGAGGCTGGGAGTGGGGAGGATGTTTATATGGAATATAGCTCCTAGAAACAGGAATTTTGCCTGCTTTTATGCTAGGGCAAATCCCCCCAAAAACACCTGTGTATCCATCTCCCAGCACAGATAGATAGACAGACAGACACCATAGGTCAGGCAGGAAACCTGACATGACTAACACAAAAAGCAAGAAAACATTTCCCATGGTAGCACTGGGCTTCTACCCTCCCTAAAGTCATCCCCCAGAGAGGGAGTCAAGCACACTTGCTAATCCAGGGTATTTTGGTCGCCTAGTTTGCTCTCATTTTTATCCCTGTGGGCAGGAGAGGAAGAGAACACAAGAATACAAAAAATAAACTTGAGGCTCTGGGAATCTTTGCACAGAAGGCTTGGTGACAGCTTGGGACCTGCCTTGGATGGCACTGAGCCCCTTTCCCAAATAGCCAACGCTCTCAGCTCGTGCCCTGGGAGCCCTTGGCAGGCTGCTGTTTGCCCCCAGAGCCATGGGGGTGTTAATACACACCAGCTCACTGGGTTTTGTTCTTCCCCTTCCCAGACCAGCAGCGTGGGGTGACAGCAGCAGGGAATTGGGGTGGGCAGATGGGGAGGGCTGGAAGGAAATGATGCAGTTTCACTTATTTATTTGCATGCTAAGCTCCAGCAGCAGCAGGGACAGCTGGGTGTGTGTGCTGACTGCTGAGCCCCTCTCGTTAGAGGGCAAATGCTGATGGAGCTGCTTGGCTCCTGGAGCTCTGAGCCCTGCTATTGTGAGCAAGATTTGAACTTCTGCAGGTGTGCTGGGAATAGCCCAAAGCACCTTTTCTCGGTTGCTGGTCAGAGGAATTCATAGCTATTATATTTGGGAGCCAGGCAATGATTACAAATCAATGACTCCACTCCCAGAGTGATTCATCATTAGCCTGGGAATTTAGCCCTTTCCCTGGCTCTCTCCATCAGCAGCTCCTGCTCCTGTGGCATCTCAAGTGTCTTATTCATTTTGAATCATTGGATAGTTATGGATGTAGCTGAGGAGGAGTGGAAGGACAGATGCACTGAGACATGCTTGGACAGCAAAGGGAAGGGAGGGCTTTTGAAGGGGCATGGGGCACGTTGAGGGTGAGCAGAGCTCAGCTGCAGACTGGGGAGCAATGCTACCAGCAAGACCCAGGGCACACCAGCATTCTCTCTGCTGCAGGGCTCCCACAGATGTTCCTTTTGGGTTGGGAAATGGTCCATGTTTTTGCCTGGCTGGCACAAAGTGGGGTGGAATGAAATAAAAATACCAACCTGTGCCCAGCCAGACCAAAGCAGGGGTTATGTAGCGGTCCAGTGGGGAGGTTTTAATGATCCCAAACATCCCAGGACACTCTATTCTTACTATTAATTAGCACTGTTACATGTTTTTAGCATTTTGCAGGCATGAACCAGAGACAGGGACTGCTTCAGAGCAGGGACTGGCACTGTGGTCTCACCCAGGCCCAGCAGAGGCAGGGATTCCCACAGCCTGCCCTCACTCACCTGTGCTCCTGCCCTTCTCTGGCTGTTTTCCTGCCCCTTGTCCCACCTCACGGTTTCCCTCTCCAGACTAGACTAGGTCTCTCATGCACACTTGCTTTACAACAGCTGCTGGCCCAGGGACCACGGCTCTTGCACCAGCAAATACAGCAAATAACCATCACAGCTAGGCAGGGAATTGGTTCCATTTCACAAATGAGGCAGCTGGCACAGAAAGAACAGCTAACTGGTGAGCTAGGAACACATTTCCCAGCTCCAGTCCTCTCTTCCCGGCCTTACAGTGATATTTCCAGAAAGCAGCTTAGATTACAACATGTTCAGAGAGGCTAGGAAGCTAAAAGGCAGCCCCACCCTCTGTGCTCTCAGAAATGCTCCTTGGTTTGCATTTGGCTCACACAAAAATGGGTGTCCCCCACAGAAAACACAACCAGGTCTGCATTTGGCTCACACAAAAATGGGTGTCCCCCACAGAAAACACAACCAGGTCTTCATTTGGCTCACACAAAAATGGGTGACCCCCACAGAAAACACAACCAGGTCTGCATCACCCCTAGGTCCTGCCCCTGCTGGATTTAGCTCTGTGGCTTTTGCTGACACCCACACACGTGCCAGGCTTTAACTGGGGCTGGCACACTGCGAGCTGACCCTCCACAGCAGCAGGAGGGACTCTGCAGGACCTGAGCTGAAAGATGAAGTGAGAACCACACATCTGCCAGCCTGCTGCTGCCTCTGTGCTCCTTCCCCCTCCCTGCAGCCCCAGAGCTGCCCACGCTCCCTGTGCAGGGCTGCTGCTGCCAGGAGCAGGGTGCTGGGAGCCTGCGGCCACAGCAGGGCAGAGGCAGGAGGGAGAGGTGGGGAAATACTCTGGGAACAGTACCTGTCACCTTGAAGAGGCTCAGGAGGTTTGAAGGAAAGCAGTTCACACGTGGAACTGAAACTGAGACAGGGGGAACTCGCTGTGAGCACTCAGTGCTGGCCACCAGCTATTTAAAGCTTTAGATGCATCTGAGGTACAGCTGGGCATAAAGAAAGGCAGCTTGCACAGACACACCCAGGACAGGGCTTTGGAACACTGCTGGGTACAGCTGCAGCAGCTGAGAGGTCAGCAGGGACCAGGAACCACCCCAGAAAGCAAGGAAGAGCTGGGCTGTTTGATGAAGGAGCAGGGCATTCCTGGCTAAACAGCACGTGGGACCAGAGCCAGGGAGATGAAGACTGTTCCAGGGGCCACACAAGACTGGACAGGAACTGCAGCCGTGCTCCTGTGGACAGACACAGAACTATTGCAAAACCTCCAAACAGGCTACTTGCTTCTCAGGAAGAATGCAAAGAAGCTGAGAGATGTGTTGGTGTGGGAATGACAACTGTAACGTTCCGTGTTAGTCCTTGAGACAGTCTTCCAATAGCATGCCTCAGTTCCCAGGGAAGTCTGAAGCCAGGGTTTTGCTGCCTGGAAGCACGAGACAAATCCAATCCTCCCCCAGATGGGGCTCCTGGTTGTCCTCTTCTCCCTCTTTCCACCTTTCCTGTCCAGACAGATCCCACCTAAAAGCAGCTGTGGTCCCATTTCACCAGGATTTTTTATTTTCAGAGCATGCACCACATTTTAATAGAGACTAAAGCCTCTCAAACACCTGCTTATTTCCTAGTCCAGCCTCTGCAACATCTGTACAAAACTCTCCTGGCAATGTCTGCAATTGTTTATGTGGAAAAGTCCCATCAAAGAAGTGTTTGAGCACTGGACTTTGGTTTTGTTTTTCAAATGTCATTTGAAAGGATGAACCACTACAAATCTTTGAGGTCCTCTGGCAGGCATTCCCAAGACCTCTGCCTGGCTGTAAGCTATTCGAGATCCCTCACACAGCATTTTAATCCCCCTCAGTGCTCCACAGTGGGAATCTGTCTCCAGCACTGGATTTCTCACTACAGAGCCAGTTTTCCAACTGTCTGGGCTGAACTTGGTTTTATGGAACTAACAGCACTGGACTTTGGTTTTGTTTTTCAAATGTCATTTGAAAGGATGAACCACTACAAATCTTTGAGGTCCTCTGGCAGGCATTCCCAAGACCTCTGCCTGGCTGTAAGCTATTTGAGATCCCCCACACAGAATTTTAATCCCCCTCAGTGCTCCACAGTGGGAATCTGTCTCCAGCACTGGATTTCTCACTACAGAGCCAGTTTTCCAACTGCCTGGGCTGAACTTGGTTGAATGCTAGGCTTTACTACTAGAAAATTACAAGAAAATTTACAAGAAAATTAAAGCAATTCCCTTCCTTCACTGATATAGTTCCCCTGAAGGGACTTGGAGGCAGAACTCTTGTCCCTACTGAACCATCCCTTTTCACTCCATGTGCTTCCCTCCTCACACCTCCCATCCTCGAGCTGCTTTCACCAGCCAATAGCTGCTGCTGAGCGTATTTGGGTCATCTTTCCACTCCACTGATCTCCCTTTTTGGGAGCAGGATCACCTAGAGACTCAAGGGACGCCCATCCTGCAAAGGGGCACAGAACCCTCTGGACATGCTGCCATGGACAGGGCTGAGGGAATATTTGGGATCCCTGGCTGATCCCTGCATGGATGCTGGGACTGATCTCAGTGACAGCAGAGGGAGAAGGGACCAGGAGAGGAGGAAAAGCTGCCAGGTGTCTGGCTGGGACAGTTGGGGAGGGGAGGGTGGGCAGCCTGAGCACCCTGCTTTCAGGGCCTTGTGCCAGCTAATGAAATTTAACATATTATTGACCAGACCCTACTGTCTCTGCCTCAAAAACAATCTTTGTGACTGCTGTGAGTTATTTTCAATAGTTTTCAACTTACAAGAAATTTCTTTTTGTTTTAATATTTAAAATGATTACATTTTTGGACTAAATTAAAGGAAATGGACTTTGTTCTCCCCTGGAAGCTGTTTATGTAACATCTGTTTAAAGTAGTTTAAAATGTCTACATTTAAGCAGTTTAAAACTCCAGTCCGTTGAACTGTGCGAAATAAAATGCTGAAATTACTGCATTTGTTGTGATTTTTTTTTTTTTAAGTCCATCCCCCCTCCACCTGACTTGCTTCCCAGGCTCGAGTTTAGCCCTGTGTCCCAGGGCAGCCGGCTGGATTGATGCCTGCCCCATTCCCAGAGCTGGCAGGGACTGGACAGGACCATGTCGAGGTACAAATTGCTGCTTTCTCAGGTGTAAAAGCATCAGCGAGCAGAGTTTGCAGTGTCCCTGCCATTAAAGGCTCTGTAGCCGATTAGGATTAGATATCCAAGCTCGTGTGTATTCCTGGGACAGCGAGCAGGGCTTCGGAGTCTCCCTGCACCAGGAACGCGCCCAAGCGCTTCTCCCAGGATATTTTAAAGCTGCCTGTGCGCTCCAGGGAAGGCGGCACGGCTGCACCCAAAGCCCCCAGAGATGCCCTCGCTGTCAGGCACCGATGGGTTAAAGATCTGGGGGTTCCCCTGAGCCACCCCGCTTTTTTGGCTGCCCGGCTCCCCAGCCGCTGCCCGCGTCCCACTTTCCCGCAACCTCGCCTGCCTCCTCCTCCTCCTTATATATTCATGAAGCAGCGCGGCTGGGGTGAAATAAAAGCTGGGCGAGCCGGGGCGGCCGCACAGGAAGAGGAACTCGGTGTGCCTGGCTCGGCACGGCCGGCAGGGACCCTGCTCTGTATCCCAATCCCGCTGTTTCTCCGCGCCGGGACAGCGCTGGCTCGCAGCCGGCAGAGCCGCTCGCCCGGCAGCGGCCGCGGAGCTCTGGGCGCCGGGAGAGGAGAGCGAACAGTAAGTGAGGCAGCCTCAGCTCGGCTAAGAGGAGACTTTCTGCGGGATGTTTGCTTTTCTAGCTCAGAGCCAGGCCTGGTGTGGGGCTGCAGCCACCCCCCTGCTCTGTTTGCTCCCCAGCACGCCCTAAAGGGGCTGGGGATGTTTTCCCAGATCTACAGGTGGAGGAGAGGCTGGAAGGAGAAGACACAAGCAGGGCTTTTCTATGTAATTCACATAGGCTTATTTCAAAATATTGAGCCCTTCTCCAGCCTGTTTTGCTCTGGAGAGATTGGCACCGAGTCACTAAAGCCTGGTGTTGAAGGATTATATTGCAGTTGTGCTTTTTTGGGGGGAGGGAGAGCTCTCAGAGTTCACATGTGCCTGCCTCCTGTGATCTCTTACTGCTCCCATGGTCTCACTTCCATCCCCTTTCCTCTGGGATTGCAAGGAAAGGACACAGCTCTGTTGCTGCAGAGAAAGCCTTGGGGTATTCCTGCCTGTAAATTAACCCTTGGGATAGCTGGAATATACTAAAAGGGTGCAACAGGAGTTTCTCTCAACTGGAGGGAATGGGGATCTGATCAGCTCAAGCCAAACCCCTTAGCTGGACACTATCAGCACAGCCAGCACTCCTTATTCAATGAGAGCTCCATCCCAGCTTGCAAGCAGCATCCTGATCCCAGCAATCCCCCATTCCAGGGCTGGCCCTTTGCCTTCCTGCATGATGTGCTGCCAGTCTGATCCAAGGAGCAACACCTCCTCACCCTACCCAGCCTTGCAGCGCGTAGCCAGCAGCCACAGGGAGTGTGCTGATCCATTAGCCCTAAATTCAGGGGACACTGGTAGCAGGTGGATTTTGTAAGACTTTGTTAAGCCTTCTGATGTTTACATTCTTTCAACAAACTTTCTCACACACAGTTCTGTAAATAACCTATGTTTTGCATTCTTTCATGGAGGTGGAGAGAATTGATGGACCCTTGGTCTGTCCAGTCACATTGGAGAGGCGGCAATGTCGCCCTCCAATCCACTGTCACCTTTGGAAAACTATAAATGTTGGAGTCAGAAAATAAAGTTCTTCTTCTTCTTCCTTTTTGTTCCCCTCGAGAGCAGCAGTGTCTGTGTCATCATTTCATGCTGTATCACAACACACTGGTAGCAGGTATCCCTGCCAGCATGGAGCATCCCATTAACCCACTGCCTCTGCATGATGGGCCAACAACTTCACATCCCACTGCTGAGGTGCTCCCTTCTGACCCCTGCTAATGCCTCTGTCTTTTCTCCCTGTCCAGGTGCAGCTCTAAGATGAAACCTCCATCTGGACAAGGTGTAAGGCTGGCATGCTTTCTCCTGAGCCTGGCAGCCCCCTGCCTTCCCAGCCCTCTCTGGAAGGACCGGGACTCCCTGATGCAGGAGGAGAAAGCCCATCAGACAGGTGGCAACTTGGTGCTGAGTAGGCAGGAGCAGCAGCTCAGCACAAAGCTCGTAAACCTCAAGAAGAAGGAAGTGGAAGCAGCCATAACTGCAGGACAGTTTCCTCCAAGCATGCACTTCTTCCGGGCAAAAAGCCTCATTGATCAGAGCACGGTGTTCAGCATCTTAAAGCGCATGCCTAAAGGTAGGCTTGGCTTAAGGAGTCTCATCTTACTCATCCTTTCTCATCTCTTGCTTTCTGAGCTGGGACAAAACACAGGATGTGGGAGACAAGCTTCTGAGAGCTGTAAATTTTGCCCATTGGGTTTCAGGAAAAGCCCCGAGGAGAGGAAGAGGGGGATGGATTGGGTGAATACACATTTCCAGCAATTGTGGCATTTGGTTTAACATACAATATGGAGCCTTAAGTCTTTCAAGAGTGGAGAAGGGACAGAGGAAGCAAAGACAACAAGAAATGCCAGACATCCCCATTTACTCAGCACGTTCCAGCCAGTGCCTCTCTTTTTCCCACAAACACATTCCATGAACAGGCTACCAAACTTATTCTGTATCTCAACCAAAAGTGTTGCATCTCCCAAAAAGTGTTTCTGCAGGTGGTAGCAGACCTGGAAGTGTGCTGGAAAGTCTGGGGGCACAAGAGGAAGAAGGGGCTACCTCTAACACTGAGTCTTTGTGTTCTTTGCTTGTGGTGTACAAGTCAGAGCCTGTCACTTCCACCACTTAAAGTGAGCTTGTAAAAGGGAGAGAGAGCAACATTTTACACAGGCAGCAACAGGACCAGGGGGATCAGAATTAAATTAAAAGAGGAGAGGTTTAGATTAGATATTAGTAGGTCTGCTCAGAGGGTGGTGAGGCACTGGAACAGATTGCCCAGAGTTGTGGCTGCCCCATCCCTGGAAGTTTTCACAGCCAGATTGGATGTGGCCCTGAGCAATCTTCCCACCTTCTCCCTCCCAGTATTCGCTGTGGGATGCAGATCCCAGACTTGCAGCATCCCAAGCCATTAACAGAAACAATTATGTGTCAGAAATGTCATTATCCTTTCGTGGCTGAATTGAGCAGTTAGAAATTTAAAAGTACTCCCCTCTTCACCTCCAGTATCATTGATACTAAGTGGGAGCCAAAACAAATAATTAACACTTTTCAATTCTGGCGATGTTTAAATGGGCTCTTGGAATCTTTGCAAGGGCTGTAAGCTTTTAGGGCCAAGATCACATCCTTGTAGATGTTTGAGTAGGATTTGATCAGAGCCCCAGGGAGTTCCTGTTGTTTCAAGCACTATGGTAATGTCTGTTGCTGCTCTCATAGGGAAGGAGGTGACATTGCCAGCCAGAGGAGGGTCAGGTTTGCAGCATGCCCAGTCTGGTGCACCAGCTCTGCTGAGAGCAGCAACCACAGCTCCTCTTTACAGCCAGACCCTCTGCAGTGGGATATCATAAACATGACTCTATATTAGATTAGTCCACTGTAAATTATAGTCTGGAACTTAATGTATTGTCAAATACATACCAGTCTTGTTCTTGCTATTCATGTTCTCCCTTTACCCTTAAGAGGTCTTCCCTAGACTAATAGAATACATATCTAAGACTTCAGCTCTCACAGTGCCTTCCCTTTACAAAGGTGAGGCTTAGTTCAAGCACTAATAACACCAGGAGTCTTTGGAAAAGGAGAGATTTCAGCAAAATGAAATGATGAGGAAGGTGAGCATACAGAGGATGCTTCCTGTGCCAGGAAGACTGGCAGCTGCCAACATACTGCACAATAACAGAGCACCCCAGAGGCCCTCTGTGCTGGCCAGCAGCAGATGTACAATGCAAGTGAGCATGCTTTTGATAAGGCACAGAAGTAAATTGTACTTCTGCATCCGAGTGCAATTCCCCAGAGTAACATGGGCTGGGATTTTGGTGTGTGCCAGAGCTCCAGAGAAGAGACACGAGAGACACAGACTAGACACAAAAATTGAAGCTGGGATCCAGACAGCTTAGATACAGAGCTTTGCTTCAGGTGTGCTTCAGCCAGCGTGCCTTGTGAGCTGCTGCCTCCTGTGCAAGTTTCTCTTTAAAACAGCGGGGCCTGAGCCAGCTCACAGCAAACTCTGCCTGAAAGACCTTTAATAACTCGGAGCATTTTCCATCCCAGTGGAGAAGCAGAGCTCCCCATTGATTTCCCCCCTCCCTGTGCTCCCAGGGAGCTGTCACGCTCTGCCTGCCCAGTGTCTGATGTGGAGGGGGCCACATCCTCCAGCCTGGGGGAGGCAGAGCAGCACTGCACTCTTTGCTGGGAGAATTCACCCACAGCCTTCTAGAAGCATTTCCAGACACCCCTGGATGAGCAAACAAACTGCTATGATGTCAGAACCTAGGACACCCCTCTGGGTGCCCTGGATGACATGTGCCCCTGGCAAGAAGCCAAAGACACTTGGGATTTCAATCTTAACCCATGGAGCAAATTACCAACCTTGTATGAAGAACCACAAGTCACAGAAGTTTAAGTAGAAAGAATAATGAATAAATCACTGGGTGAAAAGTGGAGTTTTGGGGATTTTAATATAGGGGGTCTAGGTGGCAAGGTGGAGGGATTTGTGTGTTGTCCTATTCTTCCTAGCCTCCATCTTCTGTTTGATGTTGGCACTTTTGGATTGGTTTAGAACAGAAGTCGACAGTCTAACATAGGTGATAGGTATTGGGAAATAATGATAAATAAAATACACGTAACTCATAGTATAAAATGTAGACACCAGCCCAGGGGCAGGCAGTGTGCCCTTGACAGACCTGCAGAGCAGACCTCTGCGGGTCTGAAAAAGAATATTTTAGATAATCTACAATAAACAACCTTGTGAGCCAGAGTTGACAAATTCCAACTCTTTCTTCGACCATCAGGCTGTGAAAAAGGGACGCTTGGGGTCATCCTGACAGCAGGGAACCCGAGACTACCCCATTAAACCTTCTCCCCAGCTGCCTGGGCTCACCAGGACATTCCTGTCCCCCACCAGGTGCTGTGCTCCACCTGCACGACCTCGCCCTGCTGAGCGTGGGCTGGCTGGTGTTCAATGCCTCCTACCTGCCCGACTGCTACATCTGCTTCACCCCCACGGGCTCCGTGCGCTTCCGCTTCTCCCGGCCGCGCCCGCCGCCAGCCCCGTGCTCCCCGTGGCTCCTGCTGGACACCTACCGGGGACAGCTGAGGGACGTGGCCGAGTTTGACAGAGGGTGAGTGGGCAGGGGTGGCCTGTTGGTGCTCCGTGGTGTAGCCAGCAGGAGCGTTCTGGTCCAGCTTTCCTGTTTGCTCGCTGCTCTGCGAGGGAGGAACTCCGTCCAGGGCTGTGAAAAAGCAAATAGCAATGGAAGAGCGTCAGGGCTGCTGCATTAAGTACAGCACAGTCAGGGACCATAAAAACCTGATTTTTTCTATGCACACGTGCTGAGGACACATGCTGAAGTAGATTTATGAGACCTGGCCCCAGCTCTCCATGTGGGACAGGGCTGCATGGTGCCTCATCCAGTGAGGTATCCAAAAACTGGATGAGGAAGCCAGGTAGCTGATGAACAGGCTCTCCCCAACAGCAGAAAAGCCCTTTGCAAAGTCATTGTTTTGATTCAGAGCAAGTTGCGGAAAATATTTATGTTAATTACTGCACTAGCAAAAACCCTCAAACTTCCCAAAATAAAACCTAACCCAACTGTTCCTCCAAACACCAAACTTGTTTTCTGAGGCCTGCCTTTGAAACCCCACTGGCACCCATCACCTGGAAGCATGAGGCACTCATTCCCAACAGGCACCAGGAGCTGTAGCTCACCCTCCTGGGCACTGGCTGGAACCAAGGAACCCCACACACAGGACCCCTGCCTGGTTTGGGGGCTCCTTCCCCTCAAAACCCCTCCTGCTAGCAGAGCTTCTGCCCTTACAGGCAGCTGTCCAGGTGCTCACACCTGAGCTGGCTCCCCAGAGCATCACTCACCTCCTACAGGAGCTCCTCTCCCTGCAGGCAGCTCCTACCTTTGCTGCTGGCAGCCTTTTATCAGGGCCGGGCTCGTCGGAACCACCTGGCATTTAATCACTTACAGGTGGCTGGGAAGAGCCCGGCTCCCCCTCTAGCCAGTGGTGATGGGAGCACAGAGTCCTATCTCCCCATCCAGGGGCCATTGATCCCGGGACAAAGCCCTGCTGGAAAGGCCAAGAGGAAGCATGCCGCTCTGCCGTGGTGTGTGGGGGGCTGGAGGGAGCACGCTAAATAATGCATGAAGTCAGACACTGAGCGATGAGGACAAAGGAAAATATTGAGTAGCCATCCATTCAGAGGGCACCGCTGTCCGTGGCGCTCCAGGGGCTGGGGTGTGCAGAAAAAAAAGTGTGGGGTGTCATGTAATGACAGACAGTATTGCCATGCCTACACACAAGGAGAGGGCTGGATTGAGGCAGTGCAGGTGACCCTAATTCCAGCATTTCCCAAGTGAAACTTGGTGGGTTTTACTGCAGTGAGGTTGTGTGCTCTTAAATAGAGACCTTTTAACTCTGGGTGTGCTGGCATCCCCTCCACGTGGAAGCTGTCTGGGCTCTGTGGCCTGCAGATCTGGGAAGGAGGCCAGGTTGGGAAGCTGAGGAGCTTCCAGACTTGTGCCATGGTATTGCCTTCCCTCCCCAAAACCAGCAATGGGCAGGGCAGAGGGCTCTGACTCGCCAGGGCATCCACCATCCCTCTCTTATGGAAGTCCAGGAGGGAAGGAGAATATGATGCCAGACCCTGGGCTCTTGACCTTTTATATCCTGAGGCTCAACTGCCCTGACATGTGATGGACGAAATAAGATCCAGTGAGAAATCACCAGAGAGAAAACTGGTTCCCCATTAGCTCCCTTCCATTTCTGCTGGGAGTGATGAGGAAGGAAAGATGACAGCACCTGCTCTCTTCAACCACACCAGGAGACCCATAAATAATGTGCAAGAGATTGGATTTTGAAACAGCTTCACTTCCTTAAAGCCCAAGCAATTGCACTGAGCATTTAGAGGTGTCTCAGGAGGAACCCTTCACTGCACTTGTTTTTGGTTGTGTTTCCATGTTTTGGCATGATGCCACTTTCTGGCAGAGGCTGAAGGGCAGGATATCCTGTACACCCTGTACACCTGGGTGACTGGGGCTGTGCATTGTGTGGTTCCCTCTGTTCCTGGGTGGAAACACTTGTTTTCAGAGGCAGTACTGCCACATTCCTCTTCTTTTGTATTTCCCTGACAGTGTTTAGTGGCCACAAGTCAGAGCAGGACTTCAGAGTGTCAGGCCCTACACAGGGACACAAGACAGAGCCTCGCTGCAAGGGTCTCCCCAAATGTGGAGGGGAGACTGAGGCAGAGGCCAGTGAAGTGATTTTCCTCAGCAAACATGTGCCTGAGCCAAGAACAAACTTGGATCTCTGGCATCCTGGGTGCTCACTTATCCATTTGAGTATGTTGTCCTTCATTTCTTGCCCTTCTGTGCTCATCACCACAAAATCACAGAGGAGTCATTAGGCATAATGTGCAAACACACCAACAACAGCCACGCTGAGGCACTTCCCCTCCTATTCTCATCTAATCCCTGGGCACTAGTCTAGGGGTTAGGAATGCTTTTGGCCGTCTGGAAATAGGTCTCTAGCCAGGAATAGGCCCCAGTCTGTTCTGCTTCTCAGTTTCTGGAAACTCTCCCAGTCTCTTGAACATGTGCATCCCAGGCTACCTCTCTCCTGCACTCCTCTTTGCCCTTGAGCACTGACAAGCTGAGAGAAAGCAGATGTCAGAGGGAAGAACGGATGGATAGTTGGGTGGTTTCAAGGAAGTGTCAAGGGAATATGGCAGCAGGGAAGGGCTCTCATGCAAGGCAGGGTGGATCAGCAAATGTGAAGGAACAATGGAAATGTTTCTGAGAAGCTGCACCTCTTTCACCTTACATTATTTCTGACCAGGAAGGGGTAGAAGAAAGGGGAATCTGCAAGATTTTTTTGCTGTTTGCATTTTCAAGTACATATGTGTGTGTGTGTGTGTGCTTTGGAAGGGACTCCTTTTGTTTGTTTCCCTCAAGAGAAGGTCTAATCATTCCTATTCAAAGCACACATCTCATGGGCCAAGACCCCGGAGTATTGTGTTACTGGTGAGCTTCCAAAAGGATGCTCTGAGGAGAGCCAGGAGACCACAGGCCAAGGGACAGCGAAAGGAAGGGAATTTTGTTTTCATACTTAAAAGGAAAAACAATCCTCACTTATTTTCTCCACAATCAATTACGATACAGGAGAATGTCATTCTTCCCCTCAAGAAGCAACATAATGGCTGCCACCTCCAAAGCAAGAGCATGCCCCCAGACATTTAGGGAAGCAGCATTGACATTCCAGATATTTGTAAAATACCACTGCACACCCCCCACCAGCAGCACAAGGACTGAGGCTGTGCCCAGCAGAGCTCTCTATCACCAGGATGAAGTCATCTGTGAGGGAGCTGACACCACGGCCGAGGCTTCAGGGACAGCTCCCCTGGGCACTGGCTGCTGCCCTGGCTGCCATCACCTTCCCCTCTGTCTTCTGACTGCCTTATCTCACAGAAAAATAGGGCAGTGTGTGCAGTAAGAGGGGGGGAAAAAAAAGAATAAAAATCCACTACAGAAACAAAGCACTCCACTCCCTCTACAAGTCTCCCCTTGGGGAGAAGAAGAGGGGATGAGAGAGAGCGAGAGAAAGCGAATGAACCACATGTGACAGATGTTAGTCACACTATTTAATGCACCACTGGAAGACATTTAGATACTACGGTGAGGAGAGGGGCATAATTACCCATCGAGAACAGAAAAAGGAGCAGGAAAAATAATCCCTTTAAAAACAAGGCAACAAAACATTTCACTTCTGTATTATATAGCACAGGAAAGGAAAACAGGGAAAAAACCCAGGAAGAGAGAAGGCAAACCCACAGCTGAAAATAAATAATCCTTGGCTGGTCATTTTTGCTGTGCCCCTTTGGGCATATGCATTGCAACAGCATTGTTCAGTGCATATATGACATGACATGGAAGGCTATTTGTAGTCTGCACCTGATCACTGGCAAAGGCCCATTCCAGCAAAGAAGCAAAAAAAAATGTATTTACAAAGCTTTGCTTCATCTGCATGAGCTACTGATGGCAGAAGCCCCCGAACCCTTAGGAGATTATCTGCTTATCAAGGATGGATCACTATTATGCAATAAATCTTCAACAGTTGTAAGGATCAATAATCAGTCTCAAAGGGAAGGGGATTATAAAGAGAAGTCCAATTTGATTTATGTGCTTTTAGGAGCAGGGTGGTGTGGGGATTTATTGCTGTTCCTAGCCCAAGAGCACAGGCTGAGTAAACAGCCACGAGTTTGTACAGCCGGATTTAAAGCAGGGAGCAGAGCCCTGCGTGCGCTCCTTGCTGGAGGAGTTCTCACAGGACAAGGGGAGAAAGTGCCGGGAGCCCCACTAAGCACCCATCCTTATCTGGAAGGAGCTGCCTGCAGTGCGAGAACGGGCTTGCACAGCCTTTTGATCCACGGGGAGGTTTTTCCCTGAGCGCCCGCAGCGCCGGTGGGAACAGCCCCGCTCGGCTCCCGGCTCCGGGCAGGTGCCGAGCTGGAGGGGAGCTGCCCTTCGGCCACCAGGGAAGGGCAAAATTCTCCTTCCCCCAGCTCTTCCCACACGAAAGCTCCCTGATGAGCAGCGGCACAGCCTCTCTGCCGGCGGCTGCCCCCCTCCGCTGGATCAGCGCCTTCAGGATGCTCCTGACTCCGGCATTCCTGGTTTCTAGGGTGATGCCGGGGTGTCTCCTCGCTTCCGTGGTCCAGCTCGGTCTTCTCTGGTTGCATGGATTACTGAGCAGTAGCTGGGGTTGCCCAGTGTCCTGCGATAAAGGCACCAAAGCCCCTATTGTAATGCGTGGGAGGGCAGAGCCCAAGTTGCTGTGGAAACCTTAACTCTGAATTTTCCTGACTGTTGAGCATTTAAAGTCTCGTCCTTAACAGTAGTAGCATCTCTTTTATGTACAGGTTTTCTTCTAAAATTGTTCCTGGCAAAGAAATTAACAGAGTGAGGAAGAAATGAAACTGCAGGCCCTGGAAGAGAATCCTTAGAGAGTGAAACAGCAGGCAAATCCTGGGGGAACGGGCTCTGTTTTATGGGCAGGATGGAGGGATTCAAAAGGCATATCTGTCCAGGATGTCTCAGTTTATGAATCTGGACCAGATCACATTTTACATCTGTAGGGGGGCTGTGGGGGTTTAATTCCATCCACAGAACTGTCCTGGATGAAGATAATAAGATCACAAATCAAAGCCACACCTCCCATATAACAGAGCAGAGCACTGCACGAGGATGGGGGCCAAGACATCAAACAGGAAACATTATTAAAGATCAGTAGCTGTTATTGAGGGGAAACAATATACCCAGATGAAAGCTGAAGCATGGCTGAAGGTATTTCTGTCTGAACCTGCTTAGCCCCTGACACAAGATAAGCACTGGGCCAGCAAGAAAACATCTGTAGGTTTCTGTGATGGCTTCCATTTGTCCACCCAGGAATGAAGTTAATCACCCCTGCACTGCCATTTAGACTTTGCCCACTGGTAGGAGAAATTTATTATGAACTACTCTTCAGGTGGAAGAAGGAGGGCTGTTGCCAGAGGCAGGGTTTCAGGTGGGATGAAGGCTATCAGCTTGCCAGAGGATGGTGGTGTGGCACAAATGTTCACCCTGTCCTAAATGCAAGCTGTCACCCACAATTAGATATTCTTGCAATTTACTGGCTCCCCTAAAGTCTGCTTGATAAAACTACCCACTGTCTCCCTGGATTTCTGAAAGAGGATTATATGCCAGCTGAGTGGATGGAGGAAATAAATACATTTCCATCACAGTAAGGAAAAGCCAGGACTGAGATTCTTATCAGCTGTTTCCCTGAAGTAGCTATCAGCAAGGCTGGTGGAGAGTCAGGTTTGGCTGGGAAAAATGATTTCTGATTCAGAACTGTCTTCCCCTTGCATTTTTTTGGGTGACATATTTTGGCATGTCAAAAGTACCAGGACAACTTACGGGCTCAGCAAGCAGGCTAGTGGTGGCCCAGTACATGTAAACTGTCCTGTAAACTCAGTCTGCCTTTTAGGTGCTGAACAAAGGACCAAGTGTTGTGACATCTTATCTGCATTGAAGATTCTTGGGAAAACATATTGTCTGCAGGAATAATGTGCATGATTCAGATTAGGGATACCCTGCGTAGCAGAGTAAGATTGATATCAAAGATTTTCAGGTTAGGGTTACCCTGGTCTTATCTGCATTGAAGATTCTTGGGAAAACATATTGTCTGCAGGAGTAATGTGCATGCCTGCTTTCAGATTAGGGATACCCTGTGTAGCAGAGTATAAATGATATAAAAGATTTTCAGGTTAGGGATACCCCGAGTAGCAGAGTATAATTGATTTAAAAGCATCACACTTGCTTTTGTAACTCTGTTCCTTGAAAAAGGGACGGGGCAGGTTTTAAGCACCTACTTCTACCCTGCTTACAGCTCAGCATGTGTCATACAAATTCTGTGCCAGCCATTAGAGGAGTAAATACCAGTGGCAGAAAAATGACCTGAATGCCTCCTAGTTGCACCAGTCACTGTTGTACTGCAGTTCCAACAGGCTCTGTTTGCTCTCCTCATTCTTTCTCTTCTCCCTTTTCTATAGCTTGCTGAGAAACCTGACCCTGGTGACAGATGCCCCTGAGCTGGCCTACCCTTCTCAGACTTTCATTTGGAAAAGATTTGAAGAAATCTTTCTCATTGCCTCTGGACTTATCTGCTATGCACCTGTGTTCAAGGCCTATTTCTACCAGGGGCTGCTGGAGCTCTATGAAGATAACATACAGTATGTTGAGATAAGAGCTATCCTGCCTGCGGTACGTGGGGTTTGGCTTCTCTAGTAGTCTTTTAAATCCTTATTTCTCCATAGCTTTTCTCAAGCCCTATCTTGAATTTAGTTTTTTGGATGTTTGCATACCTGCCCTTCTAAGGATGCTGGAAAGCCTTGATCATATTCAAACATCTGTCTTGGAGATTTGCATAGGCAAGGGCTTGAAACTGAGAGATTCTTTGTTCTTAATGGCTAAGAATGAGAAATTCTTTGCTCTTAATGTCACCTTCTGTGACATAGGCACAAAACTACATTGTACAGTCAGACTGGGAGCTGTGTCAAAATCTTGCTCATTGGGAAGATGTAGCTCAGTTTTGTCTGCACCAGAATCACCTGTTCTGTGGCAGCTACTCTGAACAAATTTTCTGTCTTGGATAGAGACTTATTCTGGAATAGTTACATTATTTTAAATCCTGAGCTTATTTCAGAATGATTACTCTGAATAGGTAGTCAATCAATTGGCAAAACACAGCCTCCCACAATTTGCAGACAACCCAAAATTTTAGCTATGTATATGAAGTATTAACTGCTCCTTTCAATGCTATTAACACCAAAATCTGGAAATGGTTCAGGCTTTTCACCCAGAGCTGGTCTGATCTCCAAGCCCACTCTGCCCAAATGCCTCCCCAAGCACCAGCAGACCACACCACCCTAAGTGTTCCCACTTACCCAGTGACAATTTTGTCACTGCAGACACACCTTTCCCATGCAATTCTCCAGCCCAGCTCCATGCTCCATTGGGGTGGGAGTTCTGTCAGTCTATCATGCCTGAGAGGTGAAGAAAGTATTGCAAAGGGAAAAAAAAAAAAGGATGTGGAGAAGTCCACAAAGTTAACATGAGTCTTACTTTGCTGGGGGTTGCCATAAGCCAGTTGCTCTGAATTCAGCCACCACCTCTCTTTGGGGAACCTGGAAAGAGAAAATAACAGCAATGTCAAAATGCCTGTGCTGTGAGGCAGTGCGAGTGCTGGCATCCCCCCAGGCCACACAGGTTTCCAGGCCAAGAGGATCTGCCACGATACAAGTGCGTGGGCCTGACTGGAAAATACCCTGCCTTTACCATCAGCCCTTAGACATGGTTCTAAGTCCTTTTGAAGAGAGGCTTGGCAGGGAAGATTTGCTTCCCATCCAGTTCCTGATGCTGGCAGCAGCCGTGGGAGCCTGCAGAGCCCTGGGGCTCGCCTGCAGCCGGCAGCTGTGAGCTCCAGTGCTGTGAGCCCCAATGCTGTGAGCTCCAGGGTTGTGAGCCCCAATGCTGTGAGCCCCAATGCTGTGAGCTCCAATGCTGTGAGCTCCAGTGCTGTGGGCTCCAGGGCTGCAGGCTCCAGGCAGGCTGCCTGCAGCCCGGGTACCATTTCAGGGAATTCCAGGAGCCGTGGCCATGCCAGGATGGAGGGCAGAGCAGGCAGCGAAGGCCAATGATGTGAGCTCTAATGCTGTGAGCTCCAGGGCTGTGAGCTCCAGGGCTGTGGGCTCCAATGCTGTGAGCTCCAATGCTGTGAGCTCTAATGCTGTGGGCTCCAGGGCTGCAGGCTCCAGGCAGGCTGCCTGCAGCCCGGGTACCATTTCAGGGAATTCCAGGAGCTGTGGCCATGCCAGGATGGAGGGCAGAGCAGGCAGCGAAGGGACAGCCAGGCTGAAGCTGGGGTGAGAGGGCAGGGAAATGCTTCATGGGGAAAGTCAAGGTGAGCAGGGTGTGACTGGAATAGCAAGATGCTCGTGTGGCTGGAGATCCTCCACAAGGCTCCACAGCAGCGCTGAGGCTGCAAAGCTCTCCTTGCAGCAAAGCCTGCCAGAAGCGGCCCCGAGGTAAAGTAAATGAAACTGGGATTTAGTGTGAAACAGCAAACACTGTGGAAAAGCCCCCTAAGCCCAGCTGTGTTTGCAGATTCAGCTGTGTAAAGTCTCACATTCCCATGGGCTGCAGCTGGGGAAAATTCCCTCTGCAGCTGCCCCACGGCTGCTGGTGCCTGCAAGGGGGACACTGCATTGTGACGGGGTGTGGGGCTTTGCAGGGGCATCCCTGCAAGGGACAGCACCAGAGAGGAAGTTAGGGGGTGAAGTGGAGTAGTTGAAGGCTGGAGGAGAAAGGTGACAGAGAAAAGGATGGTGAGAAGGGCGAGAGGAGAACTGATGGAGTGGTTTCAGCTGCTGTCTGTAAGCGACTGCAGGCAGGACCTTTGTGGGTTAGTATCAATTCAGGGCCTCCATCCCTGCTGAAATCAGGTCAAAAGCCCTGAGAACAGCCCTGGCAGAGAGGAACCTCCAGAGCAAGTTGATGAGACAGAGCAAAAGGGTTATTTTTCCCAGTTTGCAGCCAGGGACCTGGGAAAGCATGGCAAGACTAAATGACTGACTCAAGGTCATGAAGCAAACCTCTGGCAGAGGGGAGCAGGAGCCCAGCTCAGCTGGTAGCTTATGGAGCTCAGCCACCGCCTGCCTTGGGGCTGCCTCGGCTGACAGATTGCCACTGCAAGGCACAGAGCATGTGTGAGCTGCAGACAGCTGGACAAAACACTGCAGTGCTGGATACACACAGGAGTAAGAGGTCACGGTCTCCTCGGGGTTCTCAAGGGCATTTGCTTGCCACGTCTGAACACGGAGAAACTTGTATCACATAGGAGGGGGGAAACCCACTCCTTGGTTCTTGCTAGCTGGTAAAGGCTTGAAGAAGGAAATGTTCTGCACAGATTTTACTGCTTTTGTTTTCCTGCCCTGCTCTCAGGACCACAGCACTCTGCTTCTCCCAAGGTTTTTGTCACTTCATTTCTCCCACCTTCCAGTAAAACACCTCTTCTAACTACTGCTTCTCACGTGCTTTTCACGCTGCAGGTGTATGAACTGGATGGCACCAAGCACGATAAATCATGGTCTGTGGCAGCCTACCGGGAAGTGACCAGGCAGTTTGTGAAGGAGCACCCAGACTTTGTTGGAGCCAAGGTTATATTTGCAGCGCACAGGTAGAGGCTGAGCAGGGCTGAGAGCGGCTGTGCCGTGTCAGAGGTGGGCAGAGGGCTGGGAGAGGCAATGCTGGGCTGGAGTGCTAAAGTTGGTTTGCAATGTCCATGTGTATCATTGGAGCTGGGGTGCTGACTCCTGAGACATTCCCTGACACGTGTGAAAGGCTGAGGGTGAGAATTCATCCACATGAGTCTGCCTACGTGCGAGGCGAGCGCCAGAGGAGCGTCCGTGAGCCCTGGGAATGGGAATGAACCCTGGGCAGGGCTGCCTGTGTGCATGTCCAAGCCGTGCCTGCTCTCCTCCCGAGCCTGGATGCACTCCCCTGCCCTGCAGACACTGGAGCAGTGACAGCAGTGCCCGAGTATGGGCACTTGGTGTGGCAGAGGTGCCCGTGGCACCCGGCACGCGCCGCTCCCCGCAGCCTGTGGACGGTATGTTCACACAAGGCTGCCCTCCAAGGCAGCCAGATGCCATGAAGTCATGTGAGGTGATCCTCAGCAGGCAGAGCAGACCTCTCAGCAGCACTGACTCGCTCTGCTTTGGCACAATGCCCTCTCCAGTTCAGAGCTGGCTTGCCTCTCTGGCCGGCTTGAGCATGGACGCAGTCTGCAAAATGCACCGAGAAGTTTAAGTCTGATAGGGCTGGAGGAAACCTGAGCGTAAAACTCTCTTGAAATGCAGTTACTGCCTCACCTCCCAACAAAACAGCTGGGAGGAAAGAAAAAAAAAGTAAACATTTTCTCTCCACATTGTTATGTTCCCTTCTCTGCTTGGTAAATGGGAAAGCCAGTGAGTTAGACAAGCATGCCTCAACTCAAGTGACAGCAGGGTCTAGCCAGGCACTTCCTGGTCATTCATGGGTTTTTTTCATAATATCAATTTTCTACTGCTGTTTCTCTAGAGACCTGAAGCTGGTTGTCAGATTCAAGAGCAACGTGCATTTTGGAAATACCCCTGGGGGCCCGATTTCACAACTCAAACCCTGAGAAGGCAGGCCCATGGGAGTCAGCTCCTGCAGCGCTTTCTCTCTCTTGCTCTCTAGGATGCTGAATGTCTCCCAGATTAAAGAAGCCATCATCACTGCCATGGCACTCAGATCCCGCTTCCCAGACACGCTGGCAGGCTTCGACCTGGTAACTGTGTTTCTTCTGGGGCTTCACATTGACCCCTGCAGATATAACCACATATATACCGTGGCATATGTTGTATACCAGAGCCAGAACCTCTGCTGCTGTACTGAAATCAGTGTTAATGAATTGCAAATCCTCCAGCTAAGGATTTTGTTCAGGGTAATTGACAAAATCCCCTGAAAGAATCAGCTCCCTACCCCACAGCATTGTAATTTCAGCACAGCTGGCACCTCATTTATACAGAGCTGTAAGTCCCACCATCTTCCCAAGCGTGCTCAAAAATACCTTTCTGCTTTCCCCAGGTTGGTGATGAGGACAAAGGTCATTCTTTATGGGACCTGAAGGATGCCCTGACCATCCCATATTCCATGGGGGTCAACTTGCCATACTTTTTCCATGCTGGGGAGACTGGTGAGCACGAGGACTCAAGGCTTGTTACTGCTTGCAGAGGCAAGACTGAAATCTTGCAAAGAGCAGAAGCAGCAAGCCTGGCTTGCTTGCTGGCTGTATCAAGAGGATGTGTGTGCACACACGTGCACATAACCAGTTTCCCCTGTGCTTCTCCCCATATCAGCTTGGGGCTGTGGCATTCCCACATGACCCCTCCCTGCTTTGGACTGCAGATGTCACATTGCTCAGCATCTTTGAGCTGGTGTAGGAGTTATTGCTGGTAGCCATTTCCCCCTTGGAGCAGCACTCACTTCCCACTCACAACCACAGCAGGGTCCTCCAACCATCATTTTACAATTTAAGGTGAAATAATATTTGAGTCAGACTTGAGTCTTAACTGAGCAGGCTCATCAAAGTAACTGATGTACCCTGCATTGCTGGGGCAATGTATTATTATTGGCAATATATTATTCAGCCTGCATTGGTGGGATTTATCCTAACCAGGAGAGTCTGTCTAACTTGTGCCTTGTGTGTTGCATGTTGACATCAACAAAAAAAGTCTGGTTACCCTGGGCTCCCTTTACAGCCACAGGCAGGAGCAAGCCCTTCTAAGCCACAATACACCTCATTCTAATGCACAGGCTACTCCCCAATAATTGTTACTTCTCTCCATTGATAAGTAATGGAGTCCAGCATAATTAACTCAGCTGCAAGAGCAATACTTTAAACATCTAAAGCCAGGTGAGATGAGGGGGTATCTCTATGCTGGGCAATATCCTGGGCAGATTTAGGTCCCTGTTTCACTGAAAACGCAAGTGTAAACTCTGAGCATGAGCAACCCTCTCACCTCACAACTGGGACATCTATTAACAAAATCATCTAGCAGTCTGAGAAGTTTTATTTCCTCACAGCACTGCAGTGACTCTTGTCTGTCTCTGCTCAGATTGGCAGGGCACCTCTGTAGACAATAATGTGCTGGATGCATTGCTACTGAATACCAGCAGGATTGGCCATGGACTTGCTCTCATCAAACACCCAGTAGCCAAAAATTTGTCTCTGAAGAGGGATATTCCTGTAGAAGTCTGTCCCATCTCCAACCAGGTATGTTGTTATGTGACTGGGTCACTGTAAAGGGGTTCACCATCGCTGTGAGGGTCAGCTGGGGGGCACCTACAAGTTTTGATGCACACAGGCTGGCTTAGTTTCCTTTGCAGCACCTTACACTGCAGTTTGCTATGCAGATGTACACTGTGAATATATATAAGGCACGTAGTGCCAGTCAGCAAAAAAAATAATTTAACTTCCTATCCAGAGGAACCTGGGAAGGCAGTCCTCCCTAGTGGAGATGAGGCCCAGAGACACAGAGGGGCCTTAAGAAACATAATTGAAAATACTTCAAAACCAGGAGGGCCAGAGGCTGAGAAGCAGGGATTGTAACTGGAAGTCCTTGGTTTTGCAGAATTCATAACCAGTGGGAACTCTTTTGCAGCACATTAGAGTGGTGCCATTGTTCCCTGGGTGCAGCAAAAAGGATACTTTGGGTGGAGATTTACTGGTGTGAGCCTGAAGGGAGAGAACCCTGAGCTCCAGACGCCTCAAGTTAAGCACCACAGCAAATATGTAACAACAAAACTGTTCCTGAATTGCTCACAGTCAAATTGTTCTAAATAAGCACAAGTTATTCACCCCACTGGACTTGATTAAAGGTGATTTATATAAGAAATTAATCTCCTTGTACAGTCAGTGGAGACAAGCTGCTTCCTACTGCAGCAGCTCAGGGCAGAAAACATTCTGAACAGTCCTCTGGAGCCTGTGCCTCCCTGACCCCTACCTGCTGTCACAGGCAGCCCTGGCAGGTGTCAGTGTGACACAGCTGCAGCAATAACCTGCTGAGGTGCTGTCCCCCACTCTTCCCCACCCAGGTCCTGATGCTGGTGGCTGACTTGAGGAGTCACCCTGCAGCTGACCTCATGGCTGAAGGGCACCCCATTGTGATCAGCCCCGATGATCCCCCCATCTTTGGGGCAAAGGGAGTCTCTTATGACTTCTATGAGGTGTTCATGGCCATTGGAGGGATGAATGCTGACCTGAGGACCCTAAAGCAGCTTGCACTCAACTCCATAAAGTAAGTTCATCACCTCTTACCTTGTCATAGCAATCATAAGGAGACTACCAGCTTTCCCTCCTTGCTTGCATTTGGGTTTTGGCCCCAGAGTCTCCTCTGCCACAGGAGCTGGGCTTCTGTCAGTCCAAAATCTCCTCTGTGTGTCTCATCCAAAGGCAGGACACAGGGAGCCCAGAGACTCCTCCGCCTGTGTTCTCAAGTGCCTTTCTCTGACTCCATGCCCCAGAGTATTCCTCCTTTTCCATTCTTTGTGAACTTGCCTCCACCACCTGGTTCTGCATTTGGGAGAAATTGTATGTCTTTGTATCACTTGTCTATTTCTGCCAAAATTTGACTTGCTGCAGTGTTTGCCATGACTCATCTGGGAAACATGGGAAAACAATTAGCATTGCATTTGGGTGTGTTTAACCCCTTTTTCTATTAACTGGACAGTTCTGAATGTCCAAAAATAGTTTGGATGTGAAGCCCAGGGTCTTCCTGCACTTTCCTTGGCTCCTGCTTGTTTTACACCATGTCACTCTGTGTGCTGCAGGCATGTCCTGCAAGGGTTAATCTCTTGCTGCCTCCTGCCTTTTCATTTCAGTGCTGCTCTTGAAATAGCTGCCCCCTTGTCTCCTGCCTGACACCGACTTTCCTCCTCCTCACAGATACAGTGCCATGCTACCCGATGAGAAAGCCAAGGCCAAAGAGCTCTGGCAGAAAAAATGGGACCAATTTGTGGCTGACCTCTCTGATAGCTTTCTAAGGGAGCTGTAGAGAGGACAAGGCTCATCTCAGAAGGCATTTGGCAAGCTAGAGTGAGCCAGACTGATTGCTAAGAGGGAGAATGCTTCTTCCATGTGACCTGAGCAGATGAATGGACGTCAAAGTCTCACCTGGCAGCAGGCGACTCTGCTAAGCCAGGCTTAGTGGGCTTAAAGCTAAGAAGGAGCTGCACTATCCTGTGAAACTCATGGGCTGGAGGTAAAAGGGCAGCAGTGAGCCTTTAGAGCAACCACAAGAAATCACCCTGCTCTCAAAGGAGTCAAAACAATTAAAAATTGCCAATGACCAAATCCCGACATCCTAATTCAGGAAAAACATGCTTTCCAGTTAGAGTCAGCAGGAGATTGCCAACACGAGGATCTCTGAATTTTGCCTTATCATTACAAAATGCAGACCTTGTCCGGAAACAGCTAAGACAAACATCCAACCATTTGGGCCACTGACCTTCAAGAGAGCAAGGACTGAAAATGACTCTTGTTATGTTTAACCCTGGGCCTGCTGCCAAAATAGCACTGCTAGGTCGAAGAACCAGTCATAGGTCTGATGTCTGCTATTTCAGGACCTACCATGGCTGGAAACAAGCTGGTGGAACTTGCTCCCAGAACATTTAAGCCTGGTTGCACAGTGATCATAAAGCCAGAAGAGAGGTGCCTCAGTTGCCAGCAGTTTTTTTTTACTACAAAGTCTTTTCCTCTCCTCTGGTCTAAAGGAAGACAAAACATATTTCAGGTTAAGTCCAAAACATCCTGGCTTCCCAGACCCAGTTTAACTAAAACTATCCCCCTGCACAAGGCTGTGTTAACACAGACATTTATAGAAACACCTTTTGGTGTCAGGGAGTTCCACTACCAGCCTTTGTTGCTGTACTCATCGTGCAAATGTGGCCTTATTCAGCCTGTCAGACAGATTTTCACCTTGGTAGAGAACTGCTGTGGATATCTACAGGGCTCGTTTGGACCTCTATGGTTTCCCGTGCAAATGTGGCCTTATTCAGCCTGTCAGACAGATTTTCACCGTGGTAGAGAACTGCTGTGGATATCTACTATATCTACAGGGCTCGTTTGGACCTCTGTGGTTTCCAGCTCCTTGGCAAAAAAAAAAAAACAACAACAAAAAAACCTACACAAGAAATAGTCTCTTGACAAGCTGATTCCCTCTCTTAGCATCACCAAAAATATCAGGATGAGGAAAAAAAAAAAAAAAAAAACCAAAAAAACCAACCACTGAAAAAAGAAATCTTAATCAGGTTGCTAAATAAATTCAGAAAAATCCTTCAGCACACATGTGCCAAGCATACAACCAGGATCAAAGAGCATCATTCCCTGACTTCAGTACAATCATGCTGCTTTGCATCAGTCAAGGGAGAATTGACAAAAATTCCTACTGAAAGACATCTCCCTCCTCTGAACCACAGACTTGCAAAGGCTGTTCCTAATCTGACCAGCCTGGGCCAATTGGCTCTCTTTATGCTTTCTGTTAATTGTCTCAAGCAGCTTGGCTATAGTGTTTATTTCCACTGACCTTGGCTGGAACACCTTAGCAGGAGGCAAACACACTTATTACAGAAGTGGATCAAGCTGCACGGCCTGTGTGCCCTGTGTTAAATTGCCCACAGTTCACAGGCTGCAACTTCATCCCAGAGAAAATAAAAACCATCTAAACCACACAACCCCATCACAGAACACAAATGAAATCCCAGCAAACCACAGGTGGGTGCATTGCAGAAGGCAGCAACACAAACCACAGAAATGAAAAAGTGAGAACCCAGTCACACCCCTCACTAGCTGGGGGGGTTAAGTGCCTTACACCCCCAACCCTTTTTAGCCACAGCTACCTCTACTCCAGGTCTCTCTGCCCACACCCCCAATATTTTCCTCTGAAGCATCCTGATGCTTTCTTTGCAGACTGACCTCTCCTGGGCCTTGATACAGATTTGGTCCTGGGAAGGAGTTTTATACTGGAGGAGTAGCCAGAGCAGAGCCACCCTCCCTCCTCCTGCGTGGGTGTTGCATACAGAGCTCAGACTAAAGTCCCCAGGGTAGGCTTTGGTCATGGCCAGGTTATAAATGCTGACTTGGGAAGTGCTTTACCTGTAATGCTGCTGAGGAGAACCACTGCAAACAAGCAGAATGGCAGCTGAGCAGCAACCCAAAGCCCTGTCCCTCTCAGCACCTGATCTTTCAGCTTTGCTATATGTGGATGGATGAAGAGCTGTATTTGCCATGAGTTGATTCTCCCTTAAATAAGCCTCTTTGCTGCCAAGGTGAAGCTAATCATTACAGAGCCACTGTGGGAGGAGCAGGGCTCCTCCACACACAGGTTGACCCATGCCCCTTCCTGAAAGCAGAAAGCTTTCAGCTCTTCCTGCATGAGGTCTCTTGAGGTCCTGAACCACTTTTTGCTTACCTGTAGTCCTCCTTTGTCCTCATTACCTGCAGGAGTTGCAGGGCTACATCTTCCATTTGCCAAGTGCTTGCTGGAACCAGTTCACCTGTTGTGTCCACTTTGTTCTTGCTTTCCTAGGAGAAGTCTGCTGTGCACATGGCCATTTACCTCCTTCACAGCTGTGCTGTGATGGGGCCAAGTGCCTGGGCCCACCAGTGTGTGCTGCTGCTCAGGATTAAAGCAGAATCAGGTTTCTGCAAAAATCACAGGGGTTTAAAATAGCACAGGTCTGATGCAGCCCTCAAAAATGTGTGACAGAGGGAGGGCCAGCCTGCCTTACTGCTGGGAATCTGCTCTTCCTTAGAGCGTGTCTTAATTGGGAGAAAGGTGCAAATTAAGAAGCCCAGGCTGCATCCTCGCCTCTCTAACTCCAGGTGTGCAAAACAGGAGGAATTTAGGCTGGACCACAGCAGTAATAAAAGATCAATTGATTCTGTTCCATTCAAGCTTTGGGTAAATGTGGCTGCAGGGCTTCACTGAGACTTGCTTTTAGTAGCAAAATTCCGAGGGTTTTGCTGCCAGTCTACTCCCTTTTGCCCAGTACCTTGGCTCCCTGCTCACATTTGTTGGCAAATACATCACATATAATGCTCTCTTGCTTGTCTCTTTCAGAACATAGTCTATAATTAAATTTTCAAACCTGTCTTAACCATGGAGGTTAGTTTTTTTTTTTTTTTTTTTTTTTTTTTTTTTTTTTTTGTCTCCCTGTTAAAAAGAAAAGAGGATACCCAGATTTGATGGGGATGTCTCACATCACTCAGCCTGCAGGGATCAGGGAGCCTGAAATGCCTTCTCAGTATGCTGCAAAGGGCAGTTTGATCTGGAGAGCTAACACAGTGTTAAGCCTGAGTTATCTGGCCAAGACACTACACAGGTCCCCTCTTCCTCCTTCCCCAAGCCCCACAATAGGTGCATCCAGCTCAGGGCTGTGTTTTGAGACAGAGACACCTAACAGACAGGATTTGCTTGTGCTGCTTCTCCTACCACTACAGTGTTGAACCATCTCTGTGGTGGTTACAGCGCAGGAAATTAAAGGAATGACTGAAGGTCATTTAACCTCCTTTTAGCATGATTTTAGGAAGGGAATAGAGGAGAAGACAAAATTATCAGCCCATTCTTTTCAAAGAAAGTGAATTCTTTCCAAATAATTGCCTTGTGGAGCACCAGGTGACTACAGGGTACAACGTGAGGCTCTTTGCCCAAAGTACTGCTGGTGGGCATGGGAAGAAAGCGCCAGCTTGAGAGAGCTTCAATATCTGAGATGAAAGAGGAGGAGGCTGCCACAAGGGTGGTGGGAGGCTGAGTAGAGCAAACATAAAGAAGCAAAAAGAGCCTGCTTCAGTCTCCATCCAGACTAAGGAGCAAGGAAGGAGAGTAGAAAATCCATGGAAGTTTCTATTACAGTTACTTCAAGTAGCCATAGCAATACTTAAAGCCTTATGCCTGTTATCTCCCCATCTGTCACTCCCTGTGGCCTCTTCAGGTTCAATTTGTTTAAATGGGAGGTGGATGGGGCTTTGTTTGCAGCACAAGTGTTTGCTGCAGAGCATCTTAGACTGCCTTTGGGGCAATTTAGAGGATGAAATGTTTGCCTCCTGGTCACTCACTGCCAGGAAATGGCTGATCCAGCACTAGTAGTTGCTGTCAAAAGTCATGCCAATAAAAACAGAGGAGCAAAGTGAGTGGTTGAAAACAGAGATAGGCCCAAGCAAGCAGCTAGATCTATCTGTCCTGTGAGCCTCCATCACTGCACTGGGACTATGCAGGTGCCAGATGCTAAGCAAAGCCCTCTGGCCATAAAACACAGGGCTGCAGATGCATTTCCACCAGCTCCAAATGATCAGCCTGCTTCAGGTTTTTCTTCCTGTGTAAGTCTCTGAATTAGCCTCTTCACAGGTAGCAAAAGGACATTTCTTTGGTCAGAAACCTGTAGCTCTAATTGGCTCAGTCGTTAATTCCTTTCTTTCCAGGCTTGCTGCAGTTGCAATCACAGCAGGTCTATCAAGTGTTTTCTGTGCACTGAGGGACAGGCAGGTGAAGGGTCTGGCTCTCAATTCTCCTGGTTTGTCATTTTTATCAGGTTGTGTCCTCCCCCTTGGTCATTACAGGATAAGAAAGGCATTTTACTGTATTTTCTCAACCTTTAGCTTGTCCATCATTCCACGAGCAGGCTGCAGCATGGGAAGAGGAGAGATAAACTGTGGGGGGAGGGTTGGTTCAGGCCATTAGAGCCTCTGCAGTAAGGAAAGAGATGGAAGGTACATCCATCGATGTGGGGGCTGTGAGAAGGTCAGGAAGAGGGGGGTGATGACAGCGCTGTGAGTCCAGGGAAAACAGAGCTGCAAAGTTTACACAGGGACCCACGGGAGAAGGCTGTGGGCAACTGCCTGTTTTGTTTGTCTTTATAGTGAGCTGTGAAAGGGGGTGGGAGACATCCAAGCACGGCGTGGACAGGGGAAGAAGAGGCGGTCTCCTGTGGGTGGTGTGAGAAGGACAGACAGACGATCCCTAGGGGTATTTGGGGTACGGCTGTTACCAGATGTGCCTGCGGAGGAAATCACGAGGTCCGTCCCTGTACAGCATGCGGAATGGGAAGCTCCAAGCAGACACAGAGATATTCCCAACGCTTGGAGGGAAAAAGACACAACGGGCATTCAGCACAGGGATGATGGGCTAAAGCCCGCCTGCGGGTGCTGGGAGGGCTGGGGCTCAGCCCTGCCGCTGTCGGTCCCAGGATCAGCCTGTCCCCGCCCGCTGGCAAAGTCCCCCCGTGTCGCTTTAAAAATAAGCGCTCCAGCCTGTTGGACAGCCTTCCCTGGAAAAGTAAACACGGCAGCGCTGGCAGCCCGCAGGGGCAAAGCACACGCAGACTTTGGGGACACCTCTCCAAGGGCGGGTACCCCCAGAGTCCCTTTGGGAGCAGAACAAGGCGTTCCCTTCCCTGCCTGCGGCCAGACCCACGTCCCCTCCCGCATCCCCCGTGCCCGGAGCGCCCCGGGCCGGGGCGCAGGTGAGCGCTGCGGGTTCCCGTGCCGTGGAGCAGGAGCGCCTCCCGCGGGGATGCGCCGGGATAACAACCCGCATCGGGGGGATAAAATCCTCCCCCAAAAAACCCACACCCAAAAAAAAACCTCACCCCCAAAAACCCCCCATCCGTCCCCTCTTTCCCCCCCACTGTCACTCCGGGATATTTAATACACTGAATTTTTTTTTGTTGTTGTTGCTTTTTAACAATGAAATCTTCTCTGCGATAGGGAACAGGCTGGATGTCTCTCCCAGCTCTTTTTTATGCCTTGGGAATGGGAAGAAAAGGGCAAAAGTATCCCTACACTTAAAATAAAAGGGACTGAGAGACCCCCTGAATGCAGTTCAGTCTAGAGGCACCGAAACCAGCAAGCAAAACAACCCAACCCATCCAACTTGCAAGTGGCTGTATCATTAAAAGGCCATAAATCCACGTTAGCAAATACCCTAAGCAGAAATCACAGCAAATCAATCACATTTTCACTCTGCCAGGAGG